TAAGAACTAATCACAAACTGGCTCAAATAGCAAAAGCAATATATTGGCTAACAGATTTAAAATGAGATTGGCTAACAGATTTAAAATTCAGTTTAGGAAAGACTGAATCTAACAGTTCAGATGACATTATCAGGGACTGTTTCTCCTTTGCACTGTGTTGCCGAGGCCTGGAACTAGGGTCTTCCCTCAAAGTGGCCAGCAATTCCTGGCTTCCACCACATCCTCTCAAGAATATCTTAATTGTCACTTATCAGAGAGCTTGGTCACATGCCATTCTTAGACATGAATATGGCAGCCAATGGATGAAGAAGCTGGCTACACAGGCCTCAATTCAGCATTCTCTTCCAGAACTCAGGAGGGTCAGCCCATCAAATCACACAAAGTAAGAAAGAAGATGAGTCCACCAAGAGAAAATTGGATATTGTGAAGTTTAATTTAATGTGTCAGTCTGACTGGGTCATGGGATTCTCAGGTATCATATTAAGTGTTACTGCAAACCACACCTATAATTACAAACCTCTTAGAGGCTAAGTTGGGAGAATCTCAAGTTTAAGCCCAGCCTATACAATTTAGCAAGATCCTATCTCAAAATAATAAAAGGTCCAGGAATGCAGCTCAGTGAGGTTCAATCCCTAGTACCTCAAAAAACATCTGTATGTGTTTGAGGACATTTCCAGAAGAGATGAGCATCTGAACTGGTGGATAAGTAAAACAGGCAGTCCTCACCAGTACAGTTGGGCATCAGTCAGTTCAGTGAGGGTCTGAACAGAACAAAACAACTGAGGAAAGTGATCTCTCCTCTCCTGTCCTCTCTCTCTCTCTCTGTCTCTCTGTCTGTCTCTCTCTCTCTCTCTCTCTCTCTCTCTCTCTCTCTCTCTCTCTCTGTGCCTACCTGAGTAATGGCATGAATCTATTCTTGCCCTCTTGCCCTTGGTGCTCCTGATTCTCTGGTTCTTCAGATTTAGACTGCATCAATATCAGCAGCCTGGCCCAGCCAGATAGCTCAGCAGATTAAAGCACCTGCTCAGGCAGAAGCAGGGGCCGGGTGTTTGAGCCCGGCCTGCCATGCTGGCCCTATCCCCACAGCGCACTGAGAAAGCAAATGAGACTGGGCGTGGCGGTGCACACCTATAATCCCAGTGCTTGGGAGGCTGAAAACAGGAAGATCACTATGAGTCCAATCTATGTAATGAGATAATGAGACCCTGTAGACCCTGTACTAAATACATTATTAAAAAAAAAAAAAAAATACCAGCAGCCTCCTGGCTTTAAACTTTATCACTGGTTTTCCTTGACCTCTAGGTACAGACAAAAAAAAAAATGGGATTTCTCAACATCCACAAGAGCTAATACCTCTTTCCAGAGATACAGACATCCTACTGGTTCTATTTCTCTAGAAGACCCTCTGGGTCCAGGAAGAAGCCAATGTCTGCATGTGGTGGGCAGTCTTCAGGACAGACCCCGTGATCCCTACCTCCTGCCATTCACACCTTATATTTCCCTGCCACATTGAATCAGGGCTGATCTGTGTAACCATAGAATATAGCAGAAGCAATCACATGCCAAATCCAGACTGAATTATAAAAACGGGGAACGGGGGCTCTCTTGAAGGTGCTCTCTTGCTCTTGGGTTATTCAGCATGAAATAACCAGGCACACATGGATAGAAGCTGAAGATTTCAGATACATGAGTATGTCAGAGGCCTGGTCAAGCCTTCAGATGACAGCAACCCTGGCCATCAGCTGACTGCTATTTCCTGAGACTCTAACCCTCAACTAAACTATTCCCAGATACCTAACTCACACAAACTATACCGGGTTTTAATTAGTTGTTTTAAGTAACCATGTGTGAAGATAATTTGCTAACACTGCAAGAAATAACAAATACAATGTGCAAAAACAGAAAATATCCCTACAATAAGACAAAAACCATGTTAACGGGCTTCCTACTATGGTTGAATGTGTCTCTCAAATGTGTTAGAAACTTAATCTCCAATGCAACAAGGTTGAGAGGTGAGACTGACCAGATTAGGACTCAAGGGTGCTGCCCTCATCAAGGGTGCTTCCCTCATCACCACAACAGTGCGTTTTCATAAAAGTGAGTTCGGTCCCTCACCTCCCTCTCTCTTACACTCTTTCTCACCCATTCTCTCGCCCATGTGAAGCTGTTAGCCTTGTTAAGAGGCAGTTGCAGACCCTTGATCTTAGACTTCTGGGCTTCTAGAATCATAAGCCAAATTAATTTCTGTTCCTTATACACCATCTAGTCTGTGTTATTTTGTTACAGTGACATAAAACAGACCACCACATTTTCTTGAAAGGGACTTATGTAAATCTGTGGTCTTATCTCTTCTAACATCTGTCTCATCGTCTGAGCTTCTTTAATTCAGCAGGAAGCAAAGCAATCAATTATTTAGTGACTTACACAGTCTCACTGCAACTGATTATAATCACTCCACATGAGAAACTAGCAGTTGCTTGGGCCACAAAAGCACTGGGCTATTTACATGACCTTGTTTTTTGCTGAGCCATGAGAGCCATTAATTTTGAGCAAAAGGAATGTGCATACCCAAATCCTGAGTTTGCTCAGTGATGTTTCTGATCTACAATCATACTCAAAGCCAGTAATACACATATACATGCAAATATACTCCTAGAATATTTACAAAAAATCAGCTACAGGCCTCCCAGTCCCCAAGCAACAGCTACCTGACCAGGCTTACCATCCACTAACACAGACTGATGCTCCTGCTGTGCCTAGAAGCAAGAAGAAACTTCATAGAGCTGGCAAAGGTGAACTCTATCTGGAACATGCAAGTAATTAAGCTTGTCAAAACTTACAAGACTGGTTGATCTGTTTTCTTCTTTTCAAATGTCCATCCATTTTATAGATATCCCACCTGCAAACCACAACTTTCAAACACCTTAAATTCTTAAGTATTCATTGGCTAAATAGACTTCCAATTAAAAAACTGTCTAGTTAAGAAATCAGTTTTTTCTACTCACTTTATAGGATGAAATTTATATCATCCTATACTCAAATACACTTGCTGTCACACACACACACACACACACACACACACACACACAATAGTGTGTGCATGTCCAGCACCCTAGTACCTTCACTACTCTCCTCTGTATTCCATCTGCCTGGATGGGTTAGGACATCCTCTCTGTTTCCTAGATGAGGAAACACATGCTGCAGATATTGAGCAAGTCACCCAGAAGCACACAATTTGAGAGCAATGGTGCAGGACTCAGGGCTAAGCTGACATCTACAACAAGCCAATGCAATGACAGACAATACAATCTTTACTGTCATAGATGATTCAGAGCCAGTGTCTCTGAAGACTTAAGCCTTTTTTGTGAATACCAAATGCAATTATGCCACAGAATTCTGCATGGCCAGAAGAAATGGAGAACAAATAGAGAAAATGCCAGATTGTGTACTTATTTCTCTTTTATAACTGTCATCTAACTAGTTCTGAAGCTCTTAGGGTGTCCTTTTAGAAAGGTAAGAGAGGGATGAGGCTCAAGGAATGGAACTTAGATGAGCTCTATGGTGCTAACGCTCAATTACAGATATACAACAACTACATCTGCTCACAGCACCAAGGCAGCCATGTAAGTCACCCAACTCTGGCTGCCCTGACACAGCCCCAATCTTAATTTTCTCGTGGTCTTACTTAAAAGCAATTTTAAAGAATAAGCAATAAACTGCTCATCTCATTAAAAGAACAGAAAAACGTGGAAATACCCAAAATGCTAAATTGACCATAAAATTGACCAATTAATATAGCCAGTTTGCTATGATGCATTAACTCACATTCAGATATGTAAAAAGAGTTAATATGGCTCTATAGAAATCCCTTGAAGAGACAGGGTCCTTGGCAACCCACTTGGGACCCCTTCTGTCTCTCTCAGCTTTTAGAAGCTTTCTTTCCCCAATAAATATATTATGCTTTTTAAAAAAAAAAAAAGTTAATATAAAAACTCCTCCTGTGGTAGTAAACAAAAGAAGAAGATAGACTAAAATATAATGGGCTATAAATTATAAGCGCAGAATATAAAAATATGTTCACATGTAAACAAATTAAGTTTAAAAAAGCATGTTTTTATGGAAGCTGGGTGGGTTTTTTGGTCCTCTAAAATTTTCTTTAATAAGATATAAACAATAACACAGAAGAAAAGGCTCTTAAATCAAAATAGGCTCAATCATGTTCATAACCAGAGAAATACAAATGAAAAAATACTCTGCCAACCTCATTTTTCTTTCATGATATTATCAGGAACTTGAAATCTGGATCGTACCCTTATGAGAACATCTGGAATAGCAGTGTCACCTGACATGCTGGTGTAGGATATCTGTGGCTCAGTCTCCGCAGAGGGCAAGTTGACAACCTCTACCCGACATGCAAATGCACTGCACCTTGACCCAGTGGGCCTATTTCTGGGAATGCTTCCAACAAATGTACTGACATATGAGAGAGATAACAAGCACACAGGTTGGTAGCTGTGGCATTACTAGTACTTGAAAAAGACCGGAAACACAATCAGTCGTTGGGATACTGATTAAACAAATTCTGGTCAGTCAGATGATGACATATTGAGAGCTATTTTAAAAAATGGCAGTCACATGCTCACCAACACAGAGCCTTCCCCAAGATGTAAAGTGAGTGGTATCTGGGGTTGGGGGAGTATATGTACACACACCTGGCTGTAAATACTTGGATGATCTCTGAAATTAGTGATGCTACTCACTTCTATGCAGCAAACTGGGTGGCAGAGACGAGAGAAGGGAACTCACATAACTTAATCTTCTAAATACTGAACCATGTATATATGTATCATCTGATAAAATACGTTACACTGAAATGCACAAATTTTGTTTCCTTTGGTCATTTTTTTTGTTGTTTTAATTATAAAGTGTGGGTGGAAATTGTGCATGGGTTTTATCTATGCCTCCAGGTGCTTATTTCTTGGTCCCTCGCCCTTCCCTACCTTGCCAATGCCTGGACCTTCATGGTGTGCCGCTCCTCCTGCTCAGCCACCTTCCTTTTCAAGGTATCCACCTCTTGCCGCAGCACAGCTGAGTGCTCCATCTCGCCATCAAGCAAGTTCCTCAGCGACCTAGGAAAAGGAGTCCCAACAGTTCAGACTCTGTCAACTAGAGCCCATCAAGACCAGAGCATTCTTGACGTAAGTGAGATCCTAACTCACTCACTGTCCATAAAGCTCTGCACAAACATAATTCAAGTCTGAATCATATAAACTGATATAAGGAGATAGCAAACATGGGCCAAGATCCTACAAATAATGATTATTGAGAGCCCCAGGCAGCCACCTGGTGGCAAGTTCTTCTCATCTCACCTGTGAGAAGACCAGGCAGATCAAAGGAAAACAAGGAGTTGAGCAACTCTCAGGCAAGTTTCTTTAAAGACATTCTTTTCAAAGGTGTGGCACATTAAACAGAGACATTTTGTCACAAACACACTAAGAGATACAGCAAAGAAAAGGATGTCATACGGAACTGAACAAAAAAAGGGATATAGATGAATGTCCATTTTGTATTTATGTATTCAAAATGGTTAGGATAGATATATAGTTACATTCTCTTAATGAATAGAGGGATTTGTTCTAATAGTGTTTGTAAATAGGATATCATGTCTGCATCTTGTACAGCAAATAACCACTAGGAAGAGAGTATGCAATGAGTTAATTATTGGAACTGTCCTACCAATTTGATTTGAAACTGTCTCATTGCTACTTGTTTCTCAATAAAATTATGGGGGAAAAAAAAGGATGTCATAAAAGGCCAAAAGGATAATCTGTAGCACAAAAATAAGACTACCTACTCAGATTATGGAACAGATGTCTGGTCTTATTTCCACTACTACCCACAAAGCACACTTTGAGCCATGTTTCATTGCTATCTCCATTGCTAAGCAAACACACATAGTAGTGTACATAGCTAGTTATATGGTTAGAGGCATCATGACTAGTGTTTCATATTTCCAAATGTCTTGACTCTCCCAAATATCTGTTTTATGTATCTGTCATTACTGGTCTTTAAACAAATGGAAAAGAATAGGTCTTTTAGATATCATCACAAATTATCATCCAGAAATGAACAACATGATTCTATTGGTATTTACTTCATCACACCTAAATAGCTATTTTTAAGTAATGATGACACAACTGTCATGTAAAGCACACTTGAAAGGTAATATCAGAATGTAACAAACTATCTGGGCCCTCTTTCAACCCAGTCATTCACAGAATTCTCTAAGACCTGTGTTCCTCGAAAACTTAGAGGCAGCTACTTTCACTTAATTCAATGAGAAGAAAGAGGTGTACTAACAGTGTTTGGACAGAATATCCTGTCTGCTTCTTGTACTATGGATAACCACTAAGAAGATAACAATGTACAGTGTATTGATTATCAAAACTTCCCTATTAATCAGCTGTGAAACTGTTTCATTCATATTTATTTCTCAATAAAAATAAATTTAAAAAATAAAAAAATTTAAAAATTTTAAAAAAAACTTAGAGAAAATTTTCATCTTGACGCCTCAAGCCACTGACAAAAACTGCTTTTCTTCTTCCCTTTTCAGGAAGAAGAAATTAACAGATAGTAAATAATATCCTTCACAGATAAGACAAATCCTACTGCTTCTAAGATAACAGCAAGGGGCCGGGAAGATGGCTCAGAAGAATAAGCACTTCCTTGTCAAGCGCAAGGATCTGAGTTCAATCCCCAGTTCCACAAAAAAAAAAAAAAAAGATAACAGCAACAGCAACAGCTGGAGCAAGAAAAAAGAATTTTGCAGTGGCTACAGCTTTTGTCCAAAGTTTATCTTAGTAGAATACTGTGCTTTGTAAAACTTACTTTTAAAAGCATTCTCTTTTATTTCAGGAATTACATTTCACTGTTTTCATATATTTCCATAAAGGGCAAGCAAGAAGTTTGTCAAACAAGGCCCACAATAAAGTCTAAAAGAGCTGTGATTGATGGTCATCATGAACGCTTAATTCCCAATCCAAATAAAGGGATAAGAGGATGACATGCTCTCAGGAGGCTGAGGCAGGAGGATTACTACGAGTTTGAAGCCAGCCTGGGTTACATAGTGAGCTCAAAGCCAGCTTAAAATACATAGCAAGGCCCTTCCCTCTCCACTTTTCGAAAAAAAAAAAAAACAGAAGAGAAGAGAGAGGATAACCTAAGCACATGTGCACCCAGGCATACAAACACCCCTACCTCCTTCAGGGAGGAGATAAGCACAGGCAAGCCCTCCACTTACCACCCAGAGTCAAAACAGACTCTGGTACGGAGAAACTCAATCTTAATTAGATGGCAGCAATGCCGCCAATTCCAGGTAGCATCTAGCATTGGTTTCAAATGGGAAGAAAAGAATAAAGACATTTGCCTTCTCAGTATCTAGAATAAATCTAGCCAAGTCAAAAGAACTCTAATGTCACTTTTAAGTATCTTTGACTTCAGGCCAGGGAGATGGCTCAGTAGAATAAGTGCTTCCCTGGCAAACGCAAGGGCCTGAGTTCAATCCCCAGTTCCACCAACAAAAATTTTTTTTAAAAGTTTTTTTTTTTTTTTTTCATCAGGCCATTTTCAAGATTTTTATTTGTTCAGTATTATACTTTTTTTACACTGTGGTACATATAAGCAACTTTATAGGTGATACATAGTAGTTAGATTTCACCTACATATACATTTTTCTACTTTATGCTCTATGATCTGAAAAATGCTTTTTAAGTTGTATATGATTTATGTCTACTCTAAACATTGCTTAATTTTTTTTTTGCTCTTGGTTTTAATTTTTTTAATTTATTTATTTTTTCCATAATTTTATTGAGGAATAAATAGCAATGAGACAGTTTCAAATCAAATTCGTAGGACAGTTCCAATAATTAACACATTGCATACTGCCTTCCTAGTGGTTGTTTGTTAAACAAGATGCAGAAATGACATACTATTAAAAAGTATCTTTGACTTGGACAAACTTTAAGGAAAGTAATTGAATGTTTAGAACACAATAAATAGGCCCTCAAAGTAAAAAGACTGCTCTGGAGGTAGGGAAATGAGAGGTATACAGCATAGGGTTTGCTTATTGAGGTGATACAAATGTTCTAAAACTGAAGGTTGCATGTTATCTGTGAATTTATTAAAATTCACTGGACTGTATGCTGTAAATAGGGGAGCTATGACACATGTGAATTATATCACAATAAAAGCTGTCTTTAAAAAAATGAAAGCCTACTCTGAAATTCTTAGTCTGTTCTAAGGCAGCACCTAACTATTATTAGGTTTCCATTCCTTGCTTGTATAAAGCCTCAACAGATATATTACAGCAGCCTATCTAGGCAGGACCTAAGAGAGAGCCACCACTTCTGCCTATGAAGCAAAATCTCCTTCAACTGTTATGCCCCTCTGTATCAGAAGCAAGACATCAAAGAAAGAGACCATCCCTCAATCGTGAAGATCCCAGTACCTGTTCTCTTCTTCCAATTCATCCTTCCTATTCATCATGGCTACAATGGCTTGCCGCAATTCACCTAAGAGAAGAAAGAAAAGTCAGAATCAATCAGCAGACCTTACCTGTCACCTACCTCTCTGGATTATAAATTATTAAGGATAGCTTGTTTAAATAAAACCCCTGTTCCCTTTCCAAACTAATACCTATACAGTCTGAGATACAATTTGCTTAGCTCATCACTTTTACCAGGCACACAAAACAGAAAGGCAGAGCAGGATGAGAATAAATGCAGAAGTGTTTTCTTGGTGAATATGTACAGTTTATAGCTTCTAAGTGTTTTCCAAAGCCTTGATCCAGGACAACTTCTATTTTGAGCAATGATTTATTCCCTATTACAGCTGTTTATCAGTCTAAACAACTGACCAAATGACATGGCTCCATACTGACACAGAAATCATTATTCAAGCTTAAACAAACATCTGGTTTTCCTACACCTCCTTTAATAGTAAGCATTCAGGTGACACTATTAGGAGGATGCCTTCAATACTCACTCTAGTGCCAGGGATATAGCTCAGCAGCTAAAGCACCTGCCTGGCAAGTATAAGGTCCCAAGTTCAATTCCTGGTACTGCCAGGCCAGCCAAATAGCTCAGCAGATTAAAGTACCTGCAAGCAGGCACAGGGGCTGGAGGTCTCATCACCAGGCATGCAGTGCCAGCCCCATCCCCGGGATGCTCTGAGACTGCAATTCAGACTGGGTGTGGTGGTGCATGCCTGTAACCTCAGCTGTAGGAGGCTGAAAACAGGCAGATCACTATGAGTCTGCTCTAGTAGTGAGACCCTGAATATCCTGTAGACCATTCCCTAAAATACAAAAAAAAAAAAAATCTTGGTACTGCCAAAAAAATAAAATAAATAAAAATTAAAATTAAAAATCTCTTCAATACACCCTCCACAATTACTCAGGGAAGATACTCTTATCCTTCTGACATCTTTAACACAAAAAAACATTCATGGATAGAAAAACATGCCCTTCAACCAAATATGCATTCAAATCTTCTATCTATATTGAACTTAATTGTTGTCACTGTGTACATGTTAGAGTCATTACCATATCATTTAATCAGATATTAAGATTAGAAATTTCTAGATTTCTCTTTAAGAACTAATGTCATTCTGTCCATTTAATGAAGACTGTAAACCATATTTCCCTCTTGAGATCGACTCAGACCAAAACCACACATATAGCAGGAGGTCACAGCTATGTCCAAGAATATAAGTTATGTTTAAAACCAAACACTGTGAAGGTCCCTGAAGCATACAGGTCCAAGCAATGAGGCCACAACAGAAATAACTGACGGTCATAGTTCTCAGTACTGTGCCATAAGGCCAGAGCCATATAACCATACAAGCCATACAGAAGTTCTCAGTTTTGAACTTCTATATAACACAACAAAAACACATTTCTAGAAAAGATTACAGAGAGTTCTGGGAGATAATAAAAATTACACAGAGGTGTAGGAGGCAGTGCTGAGAAGAAAGGGAGGATTAGCAAAGCCTGCAAAATTAAAGTTATGATAGCCCAGAGTTCATGCATGTATTCATTCATTCAGTATCTACTGAACACTTACTGGTTCAGGTACCTTCCCAAGGAAGAAGTCAGCCTCCTAACATGCCTAAGGAAGGAACACTCTCAAAGGAAGATTCTTAATGGAGAACAACAGTGCACATTCATATATACTTATGATGAAATAGTATCTTTAAGACTTTTCATTCTAAATTCAGCTTTAATTAGGGTCATAGATCTCAGCCTCTCTGATCTCTTCTCTTGGACAGAAGGGGAAAACAGCACCTACCACCTCAGCTTTCTAGGGTGCTAGAAGGATCAGAGGAGAAATTAGATGGCATAGTACTACAGTGCCTCTTATAGCCTGCATCAGCAAACATTAACAATTTAGAAGAACTCATCACAATGCTACTATGAGTAGGAAGCTTACCTAAAGAATTGATAAGTTTGCAGAGAAAAAGGCAAGTTATTTATTCTCATATCATGGCTATGTTAAAAAAATTTATTATTCAAGACAGGTACACCAGGCATAGTGGCATGTGACTGTAACCCCAGAGCTTGAGAGGCTGAGACAAGCATATTGCTGCAAGTTTGAGGCCAGCCTAGGTACACTGCAAGCTCAGGGGTAGCCTGAACTATACAGTGAGACCTGTCTTAAAATAAATAAATAAATAAATAAACAAACAAACAAACAGAAGTATAAAACTTTTTTTTTTTGCTCTTATCACCATCAACCCAAGACAGATGTCAGTGAACAGTGAGGTTTTGGGGACACAGATTCAGAGAATTGTGAATTGCTCCTTTTCAAGGCATGTTTGAACTTGGAATGTTCTACCAGGGCTTCTGTCTACCTTTATAATTCTGGCTGGCCTGAACCACCCCCAGGAACAAAGACAGAGGATGTTCACAGTAACAGTGGAAAGCTGGGAGAAGTAAAATCTCACCCTAATCAAAGAAACTACTCTATCTGCCCCACCTTCCTGTCAGCCATTTGTCTCTGCTCCATCAGGGCATATCACATGCATGTCTGGTTTGTCCTAACAATCTGCTTGTAAACTCTTAACAAGTGCCACAGATAGATGTCACAATGTGGATACCTCTACTACCAGTGTGCTCAGTGAGAGCTGCCCTGGGCTGCACAGGACACGTGGCAGACCCCAGTGTGTCTAGGCTCTGCCATGCCTCTCACAGAGGGAACCTCTCATCACAGATGCGTGATCTGTGCTGTGACATTTGCATTTGCTGTTCCATGCAGAGAGAGCAATCTGTCCAGGGGCCTCCAGACTAACATTGATTGCACCATTTTTCCCCTACCCACAGAGCCTCTCCTCAGATGTTAATCCATCAATTTCTTGACTAGACCCGTCTTTCCTCTTGTTCAACTCCCATTTCCAATCTGACAAAACCCAATTAATCTATCCAGGCCCCGATGAAAATGCATCTCCTCTCAGAAACCCTCCTTGATTGCCAGCCATTAGAAGGCATGCAATGATGACTCATCTCTGTCTCCTCCATGCATATATTTATTACACCTTAAAGTTTACAGCATGTCAGGCATCTTGGTGTCCCCAGAACTCTTCCACACTGAGTGCTTAATCAAGGTGTATAAATTTGAACTATGAAAATGAATGCACAGAGAAGCTACTCTATCCAGCTTCTCTATTCTGGACTTCTAAAACTAACAGAAAAAATAGACTATCACAGACCAAGTACCTTCCATGTGCCTAGCAATGCTTCAGCCCCAGGAAGCCTTGCTTCCATTTTCACACCACCTGTTGAGGGCATTCAGTAACTAACACAGGGCAGGAAATGGAAACTGGGAATAGTCCCTGCTGTATTCAAGCTTCCAAAAGTCCTAAGGGACACAAAACTGTTCTGGTAGGTTCAAGAGCTAGAAAGAAATAAAGCATTGAGGTAAGGGTTGTTGACAGGCAAGCAGCAGCTCCTACATGGATTCTAGCAGCTTCTTTCCAAAGACAGGAGCAGAATCTATGCAAAGTTGCTATCAACAAGCTCTGAGCTGAGCAGAGCTGAGTTTAAAAACTACAGTTCAGCTACTTATCTCATGGTGACTTCAACCTGGCTTCTGCTTTTGCCAATTATAAAGTGGGATGATGCTACCTTCCCTGTGGGATGGATAAAAGAATAGACTAACACCTCAGCCTACTCATGTATTTCAATTAATGCAGGGTGGTGGTTCAAGGTTCTGGATTTTTATATATAAGTACTGCAGGCTAACCAATGGTGCCACTGGAGCTCCTGGGTTCTGGACTTTTGAAGCACACTCTCTATCAGGTTCCAAGCTCAAATCACACCTCCAAAACTGAGTAATCTTGGGCAAATTATTGACTCATTCTGAGCATCAACTCCCTTATCTAAAAATGACATCTTAATAGTCTCCCATACTGGGCCGGCCAAATAGCTCAGTGGATTAAAGTACCTGCAAGCAGGCACAGGGGCCAGGGTTTGATCCCCAGGCCTGCTGTGCCGGCCATGCCCCTGGGGCACACTGAGACAGCAACTGAGACTGAGCACAGTGGCGTGCACCTGTAATCCCAGCACTTGGAAGACTGTAAACAGGAGAATCACTACAAGTTGGATCTAGTAGTGAGACCCTGAACACCTTGTAGACCCTTCCCCACCCCACCCCCAAAAAAGTCTCTCATAGAAGTGTTTTAATAAGGACTTAATAAGAAACTATGCAAATAAGGTGCTGAGAACAATGTTCAGCACATAAAAGCATTTAACAGGTGTTACTGATCACTATAACAAATGTTCTTCCCTTCAATAACAGGAAATAAAGGTTGAAATAAGGTGGTAGTCGTAGGCCGGTCATTTATGCTGGGCACATTTTCAGGAATGACAGAGATTTACTAAGCTCCTGCATACTTTGACCTTGGGAAATAAAAAGACATTTTTAAAAGAACTTTATAGCCTAGAGCAGCAAACTAGGTAGCAGAATTTGCTCGTGTCAAACTAGCCTTTGTTTCTTACTCTCCCAGGCATGTGTCACTGGGAAAGGTTGACCAAGTGACTGGATAGGGGACTTCTTAGGTCCAGCATGAGGGAGTCACAAATACTGTCACTCAGATTTGGCTAAACTGCTATATCCCATGAAAGAAGCCTTGGTGGAGAACTCCTTCCTAGGATGATTCACAGTCATACAAATGCTCATCTGGTAAGAACAGCCTCAAGTAGCCATACCAGCAGCTCCCCTTGTGGGGGCCCAAATCTCACACCACACAAAAGGTACCTGTCACAAATTGCTGGATGACCAAGGCTGGTTACATTCACATCATCATCCTGGTATGAACCTTCTCTTCCCTCCCTGTGCTCTACTCCGGATGTTTCCTCTTGGAGGGACCCCTGTATCTCCAGAATGACAAATAACACTCATAAGCACAGATAATGCAATGTTCTGAAGGTGGGAGTCTTTTCAAAATGTCATCTTAGGAAGAAGAGTTATCATAGTGTCCTCCCTGCCTTCCCCCACTGTCATGGCAAAACACTTGT